GCCATGATATGCAACTAGCAATGATTCATCACTACAATTACAACATGATTGCAAAAAGAGCGAAAGATAGACATGCAAAAGGAAAGTTTAAGCGAGCTGCTCAAATCAACTTCACTTGCTTAAAAATATGTAAAAATCACATAATGAACACATAGCCTAACAAATAACATGTATTTATAGTTGAAATTAATGCACACAACAAAAATAATATTTGTATGAAAAATCATATTCATTTAAATAGTCATTTTTCGTACACATTCTTGTCATTCCAGCATCAAGTGGATCAATCCTATCATATGTGTCATATATCATATATTCATATCAATATCATATCAGTTTAGCTACATATCAATCATGTCTCTTATATCATTCAACCAATCACATCAAGCAATCAATCAATATCATCAGTCAATCAATCATCGTATATCATTTATCATGTGTCATCGATCTTATCTCTCCATCATCAGTTTATCACATCCATCATCGATATTATTCATCATATATATCACATGTCTAGCACATCTATCGTATCTCTTATCAATCATATCTATCATCAGTCATCTGTCTTATCAATCATATCCATCATCCATATATCATATTTGTCATATCTCTTATTGGTCATATCAATCGTGCGTCTTATCTATCATAAGCTTAATTTATTGGTCATATCTATTATATGTCTATCACATTTGTCATATCAATCATCTATTATATAGTCATCTGTCATATATGTCATCAGTCATTGATCTTATCGAACATATGTATTATCAATCTATCACATTTGTCATTGGTTTTGCTAGTCATCTAGTATCCATAATATATGTATAAAATATTAGGTTAAGCTCACATATCAATATGAATGTAAAAATACACATATATGATTGTCCACTTATAACTCTCATTTACCATCTTCCAACTTCTTAGAAGTAGAGCATATCAAAGTAATTCCAACATAGAGTTATTCAGAGCTAACATAGAATTGAATAATCTAGGACAAAGATATAATTGCCATAGTAGAGCATATGATTTCCAACATATAGTTATTTAGATCCAACACAAAATAGAGTAATCCAGAATAGATATATGAGCAAAGCATATTATTTCTAACACAAAGTTATTTATAGCCAACCTAGACTTTTTTTACATGCATTTCATATCATGTATATTATAATAACAAATATCTTGTACATGCATATCTTATGCAATTATAAATACATGTAAATCAATTTAGTATACTCATCAGTATGTATGTATTATGTTAAAATGCATGTTTTGCTAAATAAAAAATAATCATATGTATATCATGTATCTCAAGTCCAAATTCAGCACATTTGTTTCTAACCATTTTGCACTAAATATTTTCCTACTAATTTCAGATAATATATATATATATATATACTGATCGACGAAATTATCATATAAACCAATTAAAACATTTAGAATAAAGATGTCTATCATATATTAAAGTTATACATAGAAAGTTCGTTATAAAGAGAGATTACTTTTTTTATCAATTTCAGGAGGGTACTTTTTTATCAATTTCAGGAGGGAGAAAATGAACTAAACTTAGAATAATTGAAAACATAAGTAGAGCAGATGCCACTTACAATGATAAAAAAAAATTCGTAATAAAAGTGACGGATGAAAAAGTCCCGGAAGATATCTTCTCTCCTGTCTCTCTATCTCTCCTCTCTCCCATCTCTTCTTCTCCTTTTTTCATTCCCCGATAAGGCAACCAAGCGAGGTTGGAATGGCTTGAGTGGTGAGGGATATTTATGTTAAATACATTAAAATATTATTCATTATCCAGCACCACGGCTCCACGAACAATAGTGTTGCTGCATTGCATGTTGAATCTAGAGTCGCCATAAAACATAGACTTCAAACACAATGTCGCAACATTGATGCACAAAATTTTTATATTTCAGAATAAATTCATTTCATAAAATTATGGGTTATTACAACAGTTTTGTAGCGCCCTAATTCATAGCACGGCAACTCAATATACCTATAAAAAATAAAATAAAATTTGATGCAAGGCCCCCAAACCCAAGTAGGGGGAGGATCCGCCGCAACCTCCTGACGAGCTTGATCGACAAAATTGAGGAATGAGTCAATAATACAACTTGATTGATCGTCACAATCAGATTTCACACATAACTAACAATACATTATGATATTTTTAATTTGATAAAATTTTGGAAGTGCTATTTTAATTAAGCATTATTTTGCTTGATAGGTTAAGGCAAGTAGAGCAAATTCGTGAAATATTAACATTTCTGATATAGATAAAGCAGAACAAATTTGTTTGGGAAGATCAGTTGGAAGGATGAACATCAGTGAGAATTAACGCACACGATTCTATTACGTTATCTTCCATTAAACCAGGAATCACTAATTAAGGTAATAATCGAGACATCATTAATAGAAAAAGGTTAGCCGATGACACATTTAAAAGGCTATTGTTGCGGGCTAGAGTATGCATGGCGATAGAGTTAAAATCTTACATCTTAGCATTATATGGATATCCATCTCAAACATAGAGAACTCAAGATTTTTTACATGAAAAATCCTAGAAAGAGAAAAAAACACGGGGCCTGGCCAGTTGAAAATAATTATACTAGAATTCGAGTAGATTACAGTAGGCAGACTCATCCTTGAGGGTGATCATATTACAAATGCCAACTGTATGGTTAAAATCTAGTGACAAACAAGGATGAAAGTCCAGCATCATTTGGTGGACTCATAGAATTTGGTGCTACTTGAAAATTCGGACAGTGGTCCGACAGAAGTCCGACATCAAATGGTGGTCTAGTAAAAACTCTGGGCGCCAAGTGATGGTTTGGCAGAACTTCGGTCGTCAAGTGGTGGTCCGGCAGAACTCTGGAGTTAGGTAGTGGTCCAGCGGAACTTCGGGCCTCAGCTAGTTGTCCGATAGAAGTCTAGGCTTCAAGCAGCGGTCTGACAAAACTCTGGGCCTTAGGTGCTAGTTTGGCAGAAGATCGGGCCTCAGGTGCTGGTCCGGTAGAAGTTCAGGCCTCAGGTGGTGGTCAGGTAGAACTGTAGACCTCAGGTGGTGGTCCGACGGAAGTCCGGGCCTAAGGTGGTCTTTTGACGAAAGTACGAGCCTCAGGCGATGGTCCGATGGAAGTCGGGGCCTCAGGTGGTGGTTCTACAGAAGTACGGCTCTCAGGTGGTAGTCTGTCAAAATTCTGAGCCTGAGGTGGTTGTCCGATAGAAATTTGGGCCTTAAGTGGTGGTCTGGCCAAAGTTTAGGCATGAGGAGGTGGTCCGACAAAAGTTTGGGCATAAGGTGGTGGTCTGGTGGAAGTCCAGGCCTCAGGTGGTGGTCCGACAGAAATCTGGGCCTCAGGTGGTGGTCCAGCAGAATTGCAGGCCTCAAGTGGTGGTCCGGCAGAAATTCGTGCCTCAGGTGGTGGTCTGAAAGAAGTTTGGGCCTGAAGTGGTGGTATGGCAGAACTCTGGGCCTCAAGTGGTGGTCAGGCGGAAGTTCGGGCCTCAGGTGGTGGTCAGGCGGAACTTCGGGCCTCAGGTGGTGGTCCGAAAAAACTCAGAGCCTCAAGTTGTGGTTCGGCAGAGCTTAGGGCCTTAAGTGGTGGTCTGACGGAACTCAGGGCCTCAAGTGATGGTCCGGCATAACTTCAGGCGTCAAGTAATGATCCGGCGGAGCTCAGGGCCTCAAGTGGTGTTTCGGTGGAACTGAGGGCCTCATATGGTGGTCCGACATAGCTCAGGGCCTCAAGTGGTGGTTCGGCGGAGCTCGAGGCCTCAGATGGTGGTCCCGCGGAACTCCAAACGGTGGTCCAGGAGGCAAGGAGGCAAGAGTGATTTCCGATCTCTCTCTTTTCTCCTTAGGCTTAGGTGTCCCTTTTCAAGAGGAAGGAGGAGTCTATTTATATATTTCATAGAGTGGCATGACCCGTAAATAGGAGGAAGATTAAGGGTACATGGGGAGTTGTTTGGATGGACGGTTGATATTGAATCCCTTCATCGTGGTCTATTTGTTAAACATTTGAAGGTCTCAACGATGTCATAATTCCACGATCTTGGGCTCGTTGGATTTGTCTCTTCAAGCCGCTCGATTTGATTATAAGCATGTCACATTTGAAAATCATTTGGTAATCCAAATTGTGGTTTGAACCTTCCAAAAATGCTTTGGGTCCTCTATTTGAACCCATTTGGGCTCAGATTGAGTCAAATTTGGTGTCGTTGGGTTCGTATTTCCGAGACATTCAATTTGACTATAAGTTTGCTGAAATCGGAGTTCGGATGGTCCCAATTTTAATTTCGGAAGATTCCAACTTGATTTTGCCTCTAGATTCATTCCCGGTCAAGATAATTTTTTGATAATGGATCTATAGATTGGGATTCCTTCAATGATAAGATAAATTACCAAACTCAAAGCAAACATAACACCAATGAGAAAAAAAAAAGTTAGAAGTAAATAAAAGTTTTATAATAATTTTCATTTTTGTAAACAGCATTATGTAAAATTAAAGGGGAGAAAACCAACTAATAGGATTGGTAGTAATCTTGTTGAAGACAATTTTGGATTGAGTCCGATCTAAGCTAATAGGATTTGAAATTCAAATCAGGAACCAATAGCTGGAATTAATCTTCTAGCTAGCCATAGAAATCAATTTGAATTTCCAGCCAACAAACTAATCATTAAGCATATCAATCAAAACATTATAATCTTTGACAAGAAGTCTCCTTGTTGTCAGAGGAATCCTAAGATAGTTCATGTGAAGAGAATTAAATTTTACACCAAAAAATGCTCCAAAGAAATTTCCGTATCATCGACAGGGTTTGAAGGCTGATATCTTTTAACTTCATGGATTTTCTTGATAGTCCGTCTCGTCATTCTCTGTGACAGGCAAGTCAGTGCAAACTATACTGTAATGGTTATGGGGACTCGGGATGGTTTGTTAAGAATTGCAGCTTTTTCGCACTTTCACTTTCTTCCTATAGGACTGGTTCTTTTTTGTTTAATAGAGCGGTCGCGAGGAGCAGGACGAGGCGGAGGAGAGGAGATGAATTCCGGAGTATGGATTGCAGAGCAAACCATGAAAGCAGCATCGAAGCACGATAAAGTAAGGACTTTTTGGCAGAAATAAGAGAGGGTTATTGCTTTCCTCTCTGTCTCGGTGTTCTCGACCACCAAAAGTTCGGAATTTTATTGAAATTTGATATGGGTTTGTGGTTTTCTTGTGCTTCGATTGACTGCTTTGTGTTATTGAATTCAATTCCTTCTCGAAAGTAGGTGCTGTGCTTGATTTATGGAGGGGGTGGATTTTTCTAAAACCTTTCTCGTTCTTCCTTTTATTTTATTATTATTTTTTCACAACTGTCGGTTTCTTAGCACTTCATGTTAGTGTTTCCATAAGTATTTGTTTTAGAATTGTCCCATTTTCTTCTCAAGTTGCCTCTCTCTCTTTTTCAGGGAGGAAACTCTTCCATTTCAATCCAGCATACAATGGGTGCTTCGATTTCAATCTCCTCCCATGCGGACAACGAGAGCAACTCAAATCAGAAAGAAAGCGAGGTATTTTGAGAAACTGTCTATCTTCCTTCGTTAACCAGCAAACAATCTTTACTAATGCAACTTTCTTCTGTAAATCGCTTTCCGTGAAGAAGATGGAGGAGAGGAAGTCGGAGGCGTCGGATAGGTGCGAATTAAAAGATTCCTACAATGGCCCAAAACGAAGCATGTGGAGGAGGGAAAGGAAAATTGCTCTGCTACAAGATGTATACTTTTCTTGATTCATTCCGGCTTGCAATTCCACCCTTTTCAATATATGAGCTTCTATTTACAGTTCTCTTCCAACTAAAATAAATTGCAGGTTGATAAGCTGAGGAAGAAGCTTAAGCATGAAGAGAATGTCCACAGAGCCTTGGAGAGAGCTTTTACAAGGCCATTGGGTGCTCTTTCTCGCCTCCCTCCTTTTCTCCCTTCACAAGTAAATGCATTCAACAAGTTTACTTTGGCATTCTTTTCATGTTCAAGAAAATTAACTCTGAATTTCTATTCTTTCCTTTATCTCAAGACCTTAGAGCTTCTTGCTGAAGTTGCTGTGTTAGAGGAGGAGGTGGTTAAGCTGGAAGCCCAAGTACTGAATTTTAGGCAAGGTCTCTACCAGGAGGCCATCTACATTTCTTCAACCAAAACAAACATGGAAAATGGAGTGGAAATGTGCCATGTTGGATTCCCATCACAGAATGCAAAGAATTCAGAGCAGTACAAAGCTCCCTCTCTTTTAACTGATTCTAATCCTTCAATCAGCTACAATTCGTCTTCAATGCGGTGGTCTTCCGATGGATATCTCAACCTGTCTTCCTCTACTCGGTTCTCGAATGGAAAACAGATTCCTAAGAAACTCATTTCTTCATTTGCTGAAGACCATAGGGGAAAAGAAAATCAGTCGAGTATAAATACTGCCATGAATGTCAAGCAATCATTTGTGAAGAAAGCTTCGGGATCAAGAATTCTGGATTCTCAGGTGAACTAGTTACCGTGAACCTCTTGTCAAAACTGTTAATTATGGTAAATTGTACTGTTTGTGAATTCATAGCGATTTTGTTGCTTGTTTCATTCCACAGCCGGAATGCCACGAAACTGACAAGGAGAGACAACAAGCTCCTCGCATTCAAGGTAGTTCTAATGAGAAGGCGTGTGAAGAGATAAGTGATGCAAACAAGTTGTCAGAGGAGATCTTGAGATGCCTCTTAAGCATTTTAGCACAGAATGAGATGTGTCGATCAGTATCAGGCACTTCTGGCACTTCAAAGGATGTAGACTTTCAGGACCCTTATGGTATTTGCAAAGAATTTGGATGGAGAGACATTGGCCCATACAAACATCTTCATGTTTTGGATTCAAGCTCAATTGATACAAATCTTATCTCAGAATTTGCGATTCGTTCTCAAAAACTAAAGTGAGTTTTTTTTAATGGATAAAATGATTTCTTTTCTCCTCATTTTCGTAAGAATTTTAATTCAATTTAGGCTACTACTCGGGAAGCTTGCATCTGTTTTTATATCAGAGCTTACTCAACAGCAAAAGCTTGCATTCTGGATTAATGTTTATAATTCATGCATGATGAATGTAAGCTTATTCTTTCATATTTGTTCAATACTATTTGCTTCATCTCTGTAGATTGTTTCAGTTTGAACATTTATAATTTGACATAATAGTAAAGCAGTTCATGAAATCCTTGTTGTTTTCCAGGCTTTTCTCGAGAATGGTATACCTACTACACCAGAGATGGTAATCGCGCTGATGCCGAAGGTATCTTACCTTCTTTCTCGACATATCATAGCTATTCTTGACAGAATCAATCTCTAACAACAGCTCTTTTCCTCTTGTTATTCAGGCAATAGTAAATGTTGGTGGGCATTTGTTCAGTGCAATGATTATCGAGCACTTCATACTTAGATTGCCTTACTATTGGAAGCATGTGAGTGGGCCTTGTATCATTTGCTTCAAATTTTTGTCGACTAAGGTTTCGTTTGGGACGTCTTTTTTAGTACTTCTTAAAACAGTTTTTGTACTAAAAAACTTCTTTGAGAAGCACTAAAAAAATCATTTCAAAGGAAGCCTAAATAATCAAAATTGATTCTACTTTACAGACCTCACCCAAGCGATTAAAAGGCGAGGAGGCGACAAGGTGGAGCATGTTTGGATTAGATTGGCCTGAACCATTGGTCACATTTGCTCTTTCATGTGGAAGTTGGTCCTCCCCTGCGGTAATTTGACCAAATTTAATTTGTTTTTTCCTCCTTCACTATACCTTAAATTGATTCCAGAAAAGTTTGTGCATCTAAATGCTTCCGGCTTACAATTCAATCAGTGATGGTTGTAGCATGTTCTAATTTTATACTAGGTGAGAGTCTACACTGCTTCTCAAGTAGAGCAGCAGCTTGAAGACAGCAAGAGGGATTACTTGCAAGCTGCGATTGGCGTTTCAACGCCGAGCCGATTGGCAATACCGAAGCTTTTGGATTGGTACCTCGTTGATTTTGCAAAAGATATGGAGTCTCTAATGGATTGGATTTGCCTGCAACTGCCAACAGAACTTAGGAATGATGCAGTTCAGTGCCTTGAAATAGGTAGGAAGAGTGCAATTCCTCAGCCAATACAAGTGCTTCCATATGAGTTCAAATTCAGATACCTTTTGGAGCCATAGCCGTCTCTCTTCAATTTGCTTAACACAAATATGATCGAACATTCTCAAGCATTGTTTGGTTTTTGCTTACATGTTCATAATTACCGAGAGATTATTCTGTGTGGACACCAGACAGGAAGAATCGTCTGATTTTGTTTCTGCGAATAGTAAGAACGTAGCATGAACAGTAAAAACACAGAGACAAACCGGACAGTGCTCGCCGTCTAGTGTCCAATTCATCCATAGTTAACACAGCGAAGAATTATGGAGTCTTTGATGTGTGTGATAATTGTCTTGAGTGCTGCGTTTGTTGAGGCTATTTAATGTACAAATATGTTGAACATTTTCAAGCATTTGTCAATGGAGTAAAGTATGACAGCAAAAAAGAAAAAATACTTAAAAAGGAAAGGAATGTAGGTACCGATATTTGTTTTCATATGATACCATCACAATCATCTGTACCAATTACAGTTTCCTCCCGTACCCTGCACGGCTAAAACAGTAAACTATATTCTATGATTTAATTATAAGATTTATACTGCAAGAGGCCTCAATGATCATTTGATGCGAATAATGAGAGCATCATTAAAGAGTCCTCTAATTAATAATCCTTAGATGTCTCATTTCTTGCTGGCAAATGGTATAGAGAGTGGGAGAAGAGTAGGCAAAGAGAAAGTATTAAGTCCCTTTCTTGATGCTGTTATGGGAGAAGGCTGGATCTTACCTGGGTGGCAACCTTTATTCTGGTTGGACAATATAGAATACATATGCATCTCTTTTTATTTTTGGAAAATTTAAGGAGGGTCCTACGCATTAAATAAAAAAGAAATTATAAATCTTTAGTAAACCCTCGGCTCCATAAAAATACAAAATTTAAAGTAGAACCTACGAGCCCATGATTTAATCTATTATAATAAAAAGAGAAAAACAAGGAAAGCAACTAAATAAGTAAATCATCAAGAAGGCCTAAAGCCATCTAATAGAGGAATCACATAAGGCACGACAACAACAATCAACCCCAACCAACAGAAGCAGCAAAATACTACATTAACTTGTAAAAAAGATAAGCAAAGGACAACTAAAATAGAGGAAAATGATCCAATAACCCCCACTGCAACTTTGGATAAGATCCCACAAGCATCCACGGCACACAATCAACCCCAACCCAAAAACTACAAAGGCAACAACCACCCAACTAGCAAAGGGAAATAACCACCAAAGAAAGACCAAACCGGACAAAAAACAAATTTTTGTCGACTAAGGTTTCGTTTGGGACGTCTTTTTTAGTACTTCTTAAAACAGTTTTTGTACTAAAAAGCTGCTTTAAGAAGCACTAAGAAAATAATCCCAAAGGAAGCCTAAATAATCAAAATTGATTCTACTTTACAGACCTCACCCAAGCGATTAAAAGGCGAGGAGGCGACAAGGTGGAGCATGTTTGGATTAGATTGGCCTGAACCATTGGTCACATTTGCTCTTTCATGTGGAAGTTGGTCCTCCCCTGCGGTAAGTTGACCAAATTTAATTTGTTTTTTCCTCCTTCACTATACCTTAAATTGATTCCAGAAAAGTTTGTGCATCTAAATTCTTCCGGCTCACAATTCAATCAGTGATGGTTGTAGCATGTTTTAATTTTATAATAGGTGAGAATCTACACTGCTTCTCAAGTAGAGCAGCAGCTTGAAGACAGCAAGAGGGATTACTTGCAAGCTGCGATTGGCGTTTCAATGCCGAGCCGATTGGCAATACCGAAGCTTTTGGATTGGTACCTCGTTGATTTTGCAAAAGATATGGAGTCTCTAATGGATTGGATTTGCCTGCAACTGCCAACAGAACTAAGGAATGATGCAGTTCAGTGCCTTGAAATGGGTAGGAAGAGTGCAATTCCTCAGCCAATACAAGTGCTTCCATATGAGTTCAAATTCAGATACCTTTTGGAGCCATAGCCGTCTCTCTTCAATTTGCTTAACACAAATATGATCGAACATTCTCAAGCATTGTTTGGTTTTTGCTTACATGTTCATAATTAACGAGAGATTATTCTGTGTGGACAATCGTCTGATTTTGTTTCTGCGAATAGTAAGAACGTAGCATGAACAGTAAAAGCGCAGAGACAAACCGGTCAGCGCTCGCCGTTTGTGTTTGGTTTTTGCTTACATGTTCATAATTACCGAGAGATTATTCTGTGTGGACACCAGACAGGAAGAATCGTCTGATTTTGTTTCTGCGAATAGTAAGAACGTAGCATGAACAGTAAAAACACAGAGACAAACCGGACAGTGCTCGCCGTCTAGTGTCCAATTCATCCATAGTTAACACAGCGAAGAATTATGGAGTCTTTGATGTGTGTGATAATTGTCTTGAGTGCTGCGTTTGTTGAGGCTATTTAATGTACAAATATGTTGAACATTTTCAAGCATTTGTCAATGGAGTAAAGTATGACAGCAAAAAAAAAAAAAAACTTAAAAAAGGAAAGGAATATAGGTACCGATATTTGTTTTCATATGATACCATCACAATCATCTGTACCAATTACAGTTTCCTCCCGTACCCTTCACGGCTAAAACAGTAAACTATATTCTATGATTTAATTATAAGATTTATACTGCAAGAGGCCTCAATGATCATTTGATGCGAATAATGAGAGCATCATTAAAGAGTCCTCTAATTAATAATCCTTAGATGTCTCATTTCTTGCTGGCAAATGGTATAGAGAGTGGGAGAACTGAGAAGAGTAGGCAAAGAGAAAGTATGGAGTTCCTTTCTTGATGCTGTTAAGAGATAAGGCTGGATCTTACCTGGGTGGCAACCTTTATTCTGGTTGGACAATATAGAATGCATCTATTTTTTTTTTTTTTTTTTTGGAAAATTTATAGAGGGTCTTACGCATTAAATAAAAAAGAAATTACAAGTCTATAGTGAACCCTCGGCTCCATAAAAATACAACATTTAAAGTAAAACATACGAGTCGATAATTCAATCTATTACAATCAAAAATAAAAATAAGGAAAACAACCAAATAAACAAACCAGCAAGAAGGCCTAAAGCCATCTAATAGAGGAACCACATAAGGCACAAGCAGCATGACAACAACAATCAGCCCGAACCAACAGAAGCAGCAAATTACCATAGTAAATTGTAAAAGAGATAAGGAAAGAACAGGCAAAACGTAGGAAAATGAAACAATAACCCCAACTGCAACATCGTATAAGAACCCACAAGCATCCAAGACACACAACCAGCCTCAGAACAAAAAATCACAAAGTCAATAAACACTCAACTAACAAAAAAGAAAACACAAAAAGAAAGGCCAAATGGGCCAAAAGACAGGAAAGCAAAGAAGAAAAGTTAAAATACACAAATAGGTGGTTTATAATTTTTCATCTTCTTCTTCTTTCGCCAACATTTCAAGAGAAACCCTCACATTTAAATTGCACTCATCATTTAAGCAATTAGATAATCACATATGCATCTCATTTTAATATGTTAATTATAAGTTTTGGCTATCTTAATTGGCCTAAATGTCAAATGAAAAAGAAATAATGCTTCTACTAACTGTATCAAGCTGTCCTTTTGTTGTGTAGTAAGAAATGGAAAGTGATTTATCAAATGCCAATCTGAGCCTGATGATGCTTTCTGTTTAGAGCAACGGAGTGGTGGGCACGTTCTGACGGAAACAGCATGTTTTTCGTTTAAATGGGATTCGGCTTCTTCTTTGTTACTGACGTCATGATGACAGTTCGTTGAGGTGAGACGGAAAAAACTATGCAAACCCAATTTTATTTATTTTTTTAAGCACTACTCTTCAAGAAAACACATAAATCGTGCTTGTTGATGAGAAATTTTTATTTGGTCCGGTGAATGAACGTAGAGCCACGTTCGTCCGGCACTGAGATCGCACCACGTAGAATGCACAAAATCACGTATTTTTCGGTTTTGCTCGACAATAACGAGAAATACCATTGTGTGAAGACAAATACCGAGCAATACCGAGTAATACCAAGCAATACAGAACAATACCGAGTTTTTTTTAGAAAAACTCGGTATTGGTCTTCACATAGCGGTATTTCTTCTTATTGCCAAGCAATACCGAGCAAATACCGAGTAACTTAGTGGTGACTGCACGTAGAGCTACGTCCAGTCACCGGACGTAATAATTGTTCGTTGATGAGGGGATTGGAGACATAAGGGAAGGATATAGATAAAATTAGCCTCTAACGGTTTACTTGTGTAGCTATGTATGTAATTTAATTTTGTTTCATTAAACAAGGAACTTATAATGAAAAATAAATTTTAATGAAGTGTCTAAGGATTTAATTAATGTGTCTAAATTATAAAATTTTAAATGATTAATCCAAAAAGCCCCTCTTCTTTGAAACTACCAATCATGTGAAGTTGTGTGTACATATAAAATTATTTTTTGTTTAGAAAAGAATATGCCTTTTTCAAAAAAATTATGTGATGTTCAATTTTGGAATGTTTCAAATGCGATCATATTCAAATTAGAGTAAAAATAATTTCATATAAATTTTAAATTAATAATTTTGACCTAATTTGAATTCATTATTAGCCATAATAAAATCTATTCATTTCAAGTAGAGCCAATTCGGTCCAAATTATAAATCAAGTAAGATAATTTTTTGAGTCATATTGAACGTTGAAAATTAGATCGTGAACCGTCGGCTTGATTCATCTTAAAAAGCAGCCTGTATCAAATTAGCATGAATTGATAAGAACTGTTGGTCGAATTATTGAACCTATATGATTTAAAATATTAAATAGATTAATTTAATAAATTTTGGAACACTATATTAAATTAAACTTAATAAATAATTTAAATTTTGTGTGTTTTAATTTTATAATGAGTATTAAATTTTTATAATAATTATTTATTAACAAGCCGCAACAACCCATTGCTTTTTTTGATAATGTGAATACTATTTATTTTTTATTAATCATACTTAATTATTTATTGATTTTTTTTAATAATACTCTATTAAAAATTATATTTATTTATTTATTAATGATAAGCGATCTTATATGAATGATTTATAGATGCAACTTTATAATATGAATTAAGTATATGATTTATAGTTGTAAATTAATATATAATATAAAATAATAATAATTTATGTTAAATTTATTAATTTTTATGTAAACTAAATTTATTTTTTAATCACAAATTTATATTATTGCATAATTATTATATCATTTATTTTTAATTTGAATAATTTTAATTATATTTATTATATCATCCAATTTCATCTCATTTGAATCCCTCAAAAATATTTTTTGCCCTAATTTTTATCAATCAAATAATTGAGATAAGCCTAATGATCACTAAAAAGCCAAACAAATCAATGAACCATGACTCAACCACTAGCACTCAAATCACCAATTTGGTATCATTGTTATAGTGCAATAGTGAGTGTTTTCTTACAATTATCAAAATATTGAATCCGTAAAATCATTAAATTAAATGAAGTTAAACTCTTAAATATTGAGATCGTTTATGGGATAGGTGACTTCTGTCACCCATTGTCACATTGGGTGTATAAGTTTATACACTTCAACAGCACGGGACATAACGAAATAATTGACCTCAACTCTCAGAACAAATCATAAACGTTAAAATAGATGAAAGCCTATTTTGTAGGCATAAGAGAATTGCATATAATTATAAGTAGTTAGAAATAAACTAAAGAAGTAACTAATATTTTATTTAATCAATAAAGTCCATAACAAGAACATAACATATAAGCAATATCAAATAGTAGAAAAGAAACATTTATAAAAACACCCAAAATAAATGGAAGTACAAATAGAGCTATATACTCAACTTTTTGTTGAACTAAATGCCTTAAACACTAGCATACTAGTATATAATATAGTACAAAAAATTATAATTCTAGCACATTATATAATCAATATTTTTCTTACAATTATCCAATCAAGGAGTCATATCTTGAGCCCTAGCTCATCAATCACCAATATATTACAAACAGTTATGATTCTATATTGTTGCACAAGGCATCCTCAACAGGGCAAATTATTAGCTGCTACAGTGACCTGCGCTTTATTATAGACAGAAGTTCGGATGCTCTCTGTTCGGTGACCTGATGCAATAATTTGCCCCTCAACAGCCACTGGATGGTGCTGGCTTCCACGAGCAGACGCCGATCCGGCTATCCACCAGCACCGCTGCCGGCAGCGCCGCTTGTTCGATGAGAGGAAATTCCACCTGGTTAGTCAGAGAAATTGAGGACCAAATCTTTCTCCAATTAAGAAAATGCACCAGTCTCCAAGAACTAAAGAAGATCCACGCTCAAATCCTGGTCTCTTTCCTCTCCCAAAGCAGCTTCCTTTCAACCCAAATCATCAACATCTGCAACGTCAATGGCAGAATCGATTGTGCTCGTCAAGTCTTCAACCAAGTTCTCGATCCCAATATATTCCTTTACAACGCCATGATCAAAGCTTGCACCCAAAGCCTCCGTTTCATCGAAGCTATCGATCTCTACAAGCGAATCCTAAGCCGCTCAAAATCAGGCGATAGATTTACTTATCCTTTCGTCCTCAAAGCTTGCGCAGGGCTTGTTCATCATCAACTTGGGAAGCAGATTCATCTCCGAACAATCACTTCCGGTCTGAGCTCTAATCCTTTTGTCAACAATTCTCTTATAGAGATGTACGCCAAGGTAGATGATTTGATTAACGCGCAGAAGGTGTTCGACGAATTGTCCCTTAAAGACCCGGTTGCCTGGAACATACTGATCAGCAGTCATGCGAGGTTAGGGCAGATGAAGAAAGCCATTGATATCTTCAATTCCATGCCGAATAGAACCTTAGTCTCCTGGACTATAATCATCTCCTCTCACTCAATGGCTGGTCGTTATTCTGAAGCAATTGCAATTTTTCGCTGTATGCAAATGGAAGGTTTCGAGCCTGATGAAGTGAGCATTGTCTCCGTTCTGGCCGCGTGTGATATCGAGCTTGGAAAATGGATTCAGCTCTATTCAGAAAAACATGGATTTCTCCAGAAAACTTTTGTTTGCAATGCTTTGATTGAAATGCACTGTAGGTGTGGGAGCATTGAGCAAGCTCTACAGATTTTCAAAAAAACTCCTGAAAAAGATGTTATTTCCTGGAGCACTATGATTTTGGGTCTTTCGATGAATGGGAGAGGAGAAGAAGCTGTGAAACTGTTTGTACAAATGGAGGACGAGAGAAGAGTAAGGCCAAATGGTGTGACTTTTCTTGGGCTATTAACTGGATGCGCTCATACTGGGTTGGTGCAACAAGGGCTTCAGTATTTCAGTTCGATGAAAGAGATTTATGGAATTGAACCTGGAGTCGAGCATTATGGTTGTATCGTCGATCTTCTGAGTCGATCGGGATTCATCTCTTCTGCTGTGGAGTTCGTCGATAACATGCCGATTTCACCGGATGCACCTATCTGGGGTTCTCTGCTCAGTGCCTGTGCAAGTCATGGAAATGTAGAAGTAGCAGCAATGGCGATGGAGGAGTTGGCGAAGCTGGAACCAGATGACTTAGGAAACTATGTGCTTCTATCAAACATGTATGCTGGAGAGAAAATGTGGGAAGATGTGGGGAATATGAGGAGATTAATGAGAAACAGGTTTTTGAAGAAAAAGCCTGGATGCAGCTCTATACAAGTTGGTGATGGAGTTCAAGTGTTCATGTCTGGGGATGGGAGACACTTAAGAAATGTTGACATGGCTGATATGTTAGCTATGGTTGCCAGGAAAATTGGAGATTTTAGCAGTATAGAAAGTGAGGTAGAAGATAATGATTATTTTGAGGCATTTTTGTTTTTGTAAGGTCTGAAAGGAATGGAAATTGTTTGGTTTTTTGGGGGCTACTTGGCAACAAGTAGCAACAACAACAACATCAAGTCTTTGTCCAACTAAGTGTGGGGTCAGCTACATGAATCCTTTTTCATCATTGTGTCCTGTTAAAAGTCAAATTCTCATTTAAATCTAATAAAGAAAGATCATTTCTAATATTTTCTAACCAAGTCTTTTTAGGTCTACCTCTACCTTTTTTAACATAAGTCAAATCTAATACCTCAATTTTCCTAACAGGGTCATCGGAAGGCTTTTGTTTAATGTGATCAAACAATCTAAGGTAACTCTCTCTAATATTATCTTTCATTGGAGCTACTCCAACCTTTTCACGTATATTATGCTCATTTCATATCCTATCTCTAAGGGTAAAGTCACTCATCCACTTGAGCATCCTCATTTCCTCATTATGCTTCTCTTTTAATGGCCAACATTCAGCATCATAAAGCATTGCAGTTCTCACCACCATCTTATAGAATTTTCCCTTAAGTTTGAGGGGGACTTTTCTATCGCACAACAAGCCCGATGCATTCCACTTCAACCATTCAACGTGAATTCTGCTAATAATATCCCCATCTAGTTTACGATCACTCAGAATAATAGATTCAAGATATCTAAAAAATGTACTCTTGTAGGATTTAAATTAGGATTTAGTGAATCTTGTAAATTTAGATTTATTAAATCCTTAGGGTGTAAAATTTTGGGGAAAAAAAAAAACAAAGAGTTATGATTCTAGTACAACAGATGGCCATTTCTTGCAATTATCAATTAAATGATTCATATCTTAAGTGATAGCATTCCAATCCTCAGTATACTATCAAAAACTATAATTCTAATGCAACAATTAGTCTTCCCTTCTTTTATTTTACTGTTGGATGTGTTGCTATATTATTATCATTCATCTCATGCTATAATTACATTTCCAGGGACAAATCTACTTTCATGAAGCTAGGAACGAACATTAAGTGATCAGTAGGGGCATATATGACAGATTGATTGTTGTACCTATTAGCACATAAATGTATTTACGGTTTTATCCTCTGTTTTTATATTTAAAGCTACTGTAACCCGTGTACAGGTTAATAACATTAATTTCCCTCTTTACTGCTTCCGTCTTCTTCTTCCTGCCGCTGCTGTTCTCTTTCATGGTAAAAAACGGGCAATAGAAGAGGGTAGCAGCAGCAAATCCACATAAAGACGAGCAAAACAACCACACATATAAAAAAATATTAGGAAGAAGCACCTGCAAGAGTGCAAACAAACAAAATCATTCTGCAACAAGCAGCCAGAAGGGCACCATAAAAATACCAATGGTCACCAACGGACATACCATCAACCACCTTAATAAAAGGAAACCAGCAAATCCCAAACAAACAAAACAAGACCCTACAAGGAGCAACAACCAACCAATTCTCAAAGCACTTGAGAGCACAACCAGCAGGCCAAGCCAAATGCGAACTCGCAAAGGAAAAAAGAAAACCCAAAATTTTTTGGATTTCCTCCACTTGCGTTTACTAACTTTTTTAAAGAAATTCTCCTCGGCTATTTGAATCACATTTAATTCATCAATTCCCTTAAATGCATTAATGGCACATCCATCTTTTCCTCAGTATCTCAATCAGAGGCTGAATCACATTCATCAAGCCAATCACCTTGAATCACCACACTCTCCTTCAAGTTGACAGCTAAATGAGCTAGCAAATCATCATTAGCAATAAGAGAAATAGGAATATCAATGAGAGGGGCAGGGGCATTCAAATCAACATTTATTTCATCATCTACAACAACATTATCATTAATAGGTAAATTCTCGTAATCCAACTCAACATTCACATCAAGTAAATTTGAAGCCAAACTACCTGCAGGGCAAGTAGCCTCAGGCCTCAAAGGAGTAGATTCATAACCATCATCCTCGTTACCACCAACAATAAAACTAGGGGTGGCGCCCATATTGAGATACTCAGGAATGACGCCCACTTTAAGATCCTCTTTGTTGCTACAAGAAATCAAAGGCAAATCAGCAATTGATACGTCAACACCCCCATCAATTAAAACGACATTATTAATATCCACATTCACCTCATTAACCATATGACAGCCATTATCCTCATTAACCACTAGAGCTTTGATCGGCGAAACAACGATTATCCTCATTTACCTATTGGAAATGCTAATGGAAACTATTCATACTAAGTAAATATTAATTTTTTTTAAAAATGAATATGATTTTTAAAAAATGAATAATAAATTTTCTTATGCTCTAATTGATTTTTAAAATACTATTAACATATTTCATGCACTTATAGGTAGTCATACATATTTCATAATTTATATATAATTTGATATCAATAATATTTATAAATATTCAACTAATTAAATTAAACCATTCATTTACATCTAATCCAACGATTCAAAGATTCACCCATCGCTTACCCTCACCGTTCTCAAAACAGCTTCAAATACTCTTCTCGTTCCTAGAATTTGTCCTAATCTTCCTCCTCCAAGATGGCGAGAATGAAGCAAACCGCGTAAGTCGACTGGTGGAAATCCGGAAATTCTCGAAGTTAACGTCACGACTTCCTCGGTTCTATATCGTCGACGGATTCTTGAATTTAGGTACGTAGATTTGGGGAAGACAAACGAGGGCTCCGGACATTATAGACAATGAACGGAAAGAGAAGGGCTTCAGACATCCCTCGCTGGAGCACCAGCAGGTATGCCCATTATAACCCTAGGAGGCTGTTTGGATGTAGGATTTAGCTTGTTTCGTATCTGTTTTGCCTTAAATTCCAGATTTATTCGGCGATGAAGTGCGGGAAAAAGGTGCGATAACGAGATCCCACCGCTGCGTAACTTCATCGCTGTAGAAGGCGGAGAGGGTTATCGGCGAGCTTCCATCGCTTATCCGCAACAGGATGCGAAAAAACGAGGCGGAGAAGAAGTACGATCGCTCAGCAAAGGAAAAACTTGTTTTGGTGGTTTTTTTAATTATGAAAAGGATTTCCAGCGGAAATTTTGACATATTTCTTTTTCGAGTGAATTTTTTCTCGCTAGTGATTAATTCTTAGGGCATCTCCAACCTAAAACCTCATTTTTCACCCTAAAATGCAGTAATACGCTAAAATATAGTAACTTGTTTTCAAACAAATTCCATTTTCTAATAAAAAAAATATATATATATATTCCTAGTATATTCTTTTTCATACTTCATTTCATATATTTTTAATCATAAATTTTATTTATCAAATTTTATCTTTATTTTTATTTTAATGTTGTATCTTAAATTAATTAATTATGTAAAAAATATTTAGATTTCTACAAAAATAAGATCCTTCTAATTTATTATTTCTTAATTAGTAATTAAAATTTTTTAAACTTGAATCTTTAAAATTGATAATTATTTTTCGAATTAAAAAAAAAAAAACAAATGGCTGGTGAACGGTACGATGTCAATATTGACGTCGATCTGTTCATTTGCGATGAAATAGTGTCAAAATTGTCGCTCGATTGGAGCAACAGTAGAACGGCAAACGATTGTTTGTCGTTCCATTAGAGATGCCCTTATGTGTTTTACCGCGGAAAATTTTTCGGTAGAAATGTATTTTCTAATGGAAATTTGTCGATATCCTTTTAAAAATTCTGCAAGAAAATGTCAAAATAACCTCTGCCGGAAATTAGTCATTTTCTGTAGTGGTTTTCTTGTTCAAACTATTTTTAAGACGCAAAAAAAAAACAATATTTTAAAAAAAATTATGATTAAGATTTGAAAAGTAGAGTGGAAAGAAAGTTTCTCAAAATCAGGTCTTTGGTTGGATTTGAAAACTATCATTTTTCTCAAAAAAAAAAAAAAAAAAAAAATGTCATGATAACTAACCAAATGATAAATAGGTCATGCTCCAACTTATTAAAAATAGTACAAAAATCAAGAAAACTGAAATCTGAACTCTTAGGGCAACTCCAATGGAACGGCAAACACTTTGCCGTTCTTGCTTTGCTCCAACCGGCCGTCATTTTTCACGCCATTTGATCGCGGATGAACAGTGCGACGTCAATATTGACGTTGCACTGTTTGCTTTGCCATTCTTTTATCTCTACCGAACTTTGGGAAAAAGGCGCGAATGAAGAGAACGACGGTTTACGGGGCAAAATGGCGTTCCATTAAAGATGAATCATAGCATTTTTTGGTTTCACTGTAATTTTCGATTGGATATGCCTTTAAAGGGTGAATTCATTTGGAAGATGAAACTTCCTATGAATCACCGCCAAGGCTTCATAAATAACATGGACATCACGTACTCAATTGCTTTAAACGGTTTTCTCTTATCATCTCTTTGATGGGGAACATATAAAGTAACTTTGGATGCATTGGTTGCTTCAGCATTTGATAGATTCAATATTTCCCAACGATTGCTAGCCTTCACAATATCTTCCATGTTTTATTTTCAAAATTTTTGGACTGCTTCACCAATGACAATCTCCGAGCTGCAAAACCAAAGGAAGACTTGATTTGGCATAAGAGAGTGCACTTTTTTCTATTTCCTAGAGAGGTATTTATAAGAACGAAGAAGAGAGAATATGAAGTTTTTAGAAAAATTTTCATAAATTTTTAAAGATTTTTGGGAATAAAAATAAAAAAAGAACTCCTCTTTATGAAAAATTAGTCCTAAAAATTTTCATAATTTATTAAGGATTTTTCGAAATTTTGAAAAATAAAAAAACGCTTCTTTTTAGGTAAAGTGTTTCTAAAATTTTTCATATTTTTAAAGAATTTTCACATTTTAAAAGGCACAAAATATATTCCTGAAACTATTACATTATTAGTTCATGAATAGCTTGGAACTATTCACATGTATACAGCACAAACAATAAAATTTTTTCCTAAGCTTTCTCTTCATGCTATTTCCAAGTAATGTAAATAATAGGATTTTTAAGTAATAAACCTCTTGAAGTTTTGTTAAGAAAATTAATTTATTTAAAATGACCTTTTTCTTATTGAGGAAATCATTAATTTTGTTTAGAAATAAAACTTCAATTTTATATATGATGAAAAAATAATTTTAACACATTCAATGCATAATAAATATCCTATAACTAATTTTAAAATGAGTTTAGAGAATTTTGGATAAAAATTATTACTTATGTCAGTGCATCCGATTCAAGAAATATTATAATTAATGATATTTTACTTGGTTTACAATCTTGAGTGGAGGTCCGCGTTGACGTCAATGAGGTGGTCGTGCCTTATAATTATAATTTTCAATCACAAGCAGCTCAGAAATATACAATTATATATTTTCGGACTCTGCAAGCTTCAATGTCTGAAAATAGACAGCAATTGATATATTACAAAAAATTCATCTTGATTGGACACGAATCTCGATGCAATATATAAGATTGAGACTTCAAAAAATTAAAATTAGGACCTTTTGATTTCCAATTTCATTAAGTTTATAGTCAAATTGAACATCTCAAGGAGACAAACCCAACGACATCAAATTTGGTCCAATTCGAGCCCAATTGAATCCAAATCAAAGGTCCAATGTCTATTTGAAAGCTTCAGAGCATTAATTGAACTATCAAATGATATCTGAATATGACATGCTTATAGTTGAATCGAGCGGCTTGACGAGATGAATCCAACAAGCCTAAGATCACTCAATTCTGACATCTCTAGGTCATCTAAATGTTTAATAAATGTTTCATGATTAAGGAGATCACTATGAGCTCTCGGATAGACCACTCTAACATGCTCTCGATTTTCTCCATATTTTCTAGCTATATCATATCCAAAAAATTATTAATAGACCACATTCTTCATGAAAGGGGGAGGAGGAAAAGGAAGACGAGAAGATCTCTGAGGTTGAAACTTCACCTCGGCACAACCGTTGTCGAGTTGCGCCACTAGGCTGCCGCTGTTGAACCTCTATCCTACCATCATCGTCGAACCTCCATATGGATGCCACTAATGAGCCTTACTCCGATCATCGTCGCCCATCGACTGCAATCCTTCCAATCATTGTCGCCCGCTGACTATTGTCATTCCGATTATTATTGCCCACCAACTACGATCCTACCAATCAAATAAAAATGCCAACACTCTCTTAAGAGTAATAGTCATGCCATCATGCCAGTATCTGATTATGTACTGTGTTATATACATTATATATTTGTTAAATTGAGTCAACATATTCCTCCAAGGATAGGCATCATTTGTAACCAACCACCAATATTAGTGGAATCATTTCAATTGTCTAATGCCCCTGTGATTTTTTTTTCCTTTTAAGGGATCTTCACATAAAATTTTTGGTGCCTTCTATGCATCATGCACCTTACTCTTTTATATATTTATGTGCTGAATTTTAGTACAAAATTAGAATGCAAAACTTTATGTCTCTACCATTCTGAATATTTCAGGACGCAACATTACTAAATTTAGCATTTAATAATTAGAAAATAGTGACACTGATTATTTAAAGGGGTTTTCTGAAAAATAAGAAAATTTATTTTATAAGAGAAAAAATGCGGATTATTTAAAGTAAGTGGAATTCCTGAGAAACACCTACACTTTCAGGCATTACTTGACAATTAGCACCCTGTGAATAAACTATTTATACCATCTAGTACTCTAAAGCAATAATTCATTTTGCATTTTTACCCTTCACATTTCATAGCATAGTCTCCACGAGCTATCAAATATGATGGAACAATGACACAGAAAAGTCAACGTGGTCCTTTGTCTTTGTTAGGGTTTGCTGCTTCGGCAGGGTGTTCTGGCTTCGTTGCTCTTCAAATTTCAGGGAAGTTTCTTATTCTTCTTCTGTTTCTTGGTTTTGGAGGCGTTTAGCTTGGATTGATTTTCTTTTTAGCCGGCGGTGTATGGCGCCGGATAAATTGAAGGATCCCGATCTTTTTAGTGGATTTTCTCACCCTAAGTCTTTTCTTGAAGCACTTGCTGGCTCTTCTTCTTCCTTTTCGGATTTGAGGACTTCTAGTTATCGTGTTTTGCCGTCCTTATGGGTTTCCGATGAGGAAATCAAAGAGCTTGCTTCCCCCTTCCGATTTTCGTTAGTCGGTTTTTTTTTTTACTTCCAAACGTCCCCCCTCTCGATTCTATTTGGAATTTTTTTTTTTTAATTTGAAGCTGAATGGAGAAGTTTCTATGACGGTTTTGGATCCTTCTCACATCCTGATCAAACTGGTCAATGATCTAGACTACTACAGGGTTTTTTGTCATCGCTCCTATCTTGTTTTCAATTGTTTAATGAAACTTACTAAATGGTCGCCTAGTTTAGATATTGGTGTTGAGTCGCCGGTTATATCCCGGTCTTGATCTCGTTTCCTCGACTTCGACCGCATTTCTTCTCTCCCAGGATTCTTTCTGGTCTTGGCGGTTTGTTTGGTAAGCCCCTGAAAATCGATGAAGCTACCGCTGTAGGTTCCCGTCCATCCATTACTCGTATTTTAGTAGAGCTTGATATTACAAAATCCTACCCTAAGCATGTTTGGTTAGGTTCGGAATCGTTAGGTTACATTCAAGAGGTAGTTTTTGATGAATTCCCTCAATTCTGTGCCAGCTGTAAGTGCATTGACCATTCACTAGGAAATTGCCATCCGGTTAAGCCTGTTAACGAGATCTCTCCCATCCCCCCTAACGTTAATCTAGACGTTCTCAATGCTGAAAATGTTACGTCTCATATTGTTTTGGATTGTGAGAATGCGAATGTTGTGGTTCTCCCTGTTGTTGATTTGCCGTCTGCAACCCCTGTTGTTGGGAAGGCTTCTCTATCTTTGACGGATCAGGTTGTGGATGAATGTCAGACTAAAACTGTTGAGTTGGTTTCGTCTGATGTCCCCTTATGTGTTGATACTACTCCTACTATTGTTGACCCTGTTACGGTTTCAGCACAGGATGCGTTAATTGGGTCTGTGTCTGGTACGATGGATGCTAGGGAGGGAGTTGGAAGGCTTGAACAATGCAGTGTTATAACTGAGGTTGTTACAAACGGCTTATCA